CCGACACGTCTGCTCACCCCAACGTCCATTTTCACCAACAAAGTATAACTTGTTTACCACCCGACTGGTCTTCGTCTTTCGATTTCGTATCCCAGACATTACTCACGCCAGCTCTAACAATGGACGAATGGGAGCTTGCGTTGACTGAAATCTATCGGATTCTGAAACCAGGAGGCCATGTCCAGTTCTCGGATGCAGACTGGGAACAAAGATATTCCTCCGGGGGTCCTGGCGGTCGCAAACTCAACTCTTTGATGCTTGCCCTCGCTGCAAGGCACTCGCTTATGCCCGATTTCTCTAGGAAAGTGCCATATCTGTTGCAAAAGATTGGTTTCCAAGGTATCACTGTTGAAACTAGGCTATTGCCTGTCGGACGCACGTTAGGCGCAGACGGTATCCACGGAGAGATGGTGATGAAGAACGCGGTGGATGTGTTCAAGGGTGCTGTACTAAGGCTTGGTGGCCTGGAGGATGCCCGGACGGAACGGGATTTCGAGGCACTAGCGGCCTCATTAGAGGACGATTGGGCTAATGGTCATGAAGGGGCATCCGGATACTATGTGATCTGTGCCACAAAACCATCGGCATGATGGACAATGGATATTGTAAATAGTCGGTGACGGCTTTGCCCCGTCGAAATCGCAAAAAAAAAATCCATGTATGTATGTATCTCATTTATTTGTCAGTGTGCTTTATCATTTTTTTGGCGAAAGCCTGTCTACCAAGTCATCAACGAATACAAAGTCTAGGTCACTGACTTACGATCTCAACAACCTTCGATAATAAGTGATAAGCGTCTTCGAGCTCCAGTGAGTGATTTGAACCAGCCTTGAAGTTGAACGCTGCTTCTAAGTTGATCGTTCGTCTGTAATAATCGCTCGATTTATTCCGAGAGTACTGCCAAACTATGTACACAAGTGGACGCAAGTATTAAACGATGGATGGAGATTCAAATACGAAGCATCATCTGCAAGGGAAAAAAACATTCACAGAAAGCAATCAACGGATGCTCGGAGTACCACTTTCATGGCATTGGTACAAAGCCTTCTTTTATCTCCTCCGTAAGCTTTTTTGCACGTTCTGCTTCTTCCTGAACTGGGAGTCAAACAACGGCGATCTCGATATCGTCAAAACTGACCTGCATCCGTTTTGTTGCTGTGGTTAGAGCTTTGAAATGCTCTTTTGTACTTGTGCAAGTTAATCTGAGCAGAAAGTATGTCAGTAACAGCACCGAGAGGATGATGTTAAAACAAACCCTCGCTTTCTCAAATGCTGCTTGTGCTTTCATCACATCACTCTCCGACTGGCTTACTTTGCAAGTGATTCGATGGCTAAACGTCTGCTTAGCCTGCATGAAGTGAGGAACATCAACGAGAGTATAATGAAGGCGGGTACACACTACTGGAATATCATCAGAGTCCGAGTCTGAGACTTTGATGGTCTTTAGTTTGCTGCCTGATACGTGGATTTCTGAACATTCTGGGATTAGATGTAAATGAATTACAGCAAAAGATTGCTTACCAGTCTTGGGATCTTTCTCGAAACTGGAACCACTGGCTTGACCTTGTCTTGGTGTCGGTTCAATGCATTTCTACAGATGGAATAGGTCAAGACTCAAGAGTCTAATGTAGTCTAACACTGAAAGATTTCAAATGACTGACCCGTCTTTTCGGTGGACTGTGAACGACATCGTCTTCATCATCACTGCTGCCAGTTTCCTTTGCTATTTGTTTCCCTTTGTTCCGCTAATGAAAATATTGTCGCAGAAAGAACGTAAACTGACCAAAAGTGTGCTTACCTTTTTGCGGCCAGGATGGGCCCTTTTCTGGATATTCAGTCAGAAGAAAACTTATTGAATAAGTAGACAAGAATGAAAGTAAATACCCTAACTCCTTCCATATCAGCTGCCACCGGATCTCTGTTTTGACCGTGTATCTTCCAAACGCGCTCGGACTTGTTCCATGTGTAACGCAAAGAACTCTTTGAGTAAGGATGTTGGAATGCCCATTGGTTTGATTGAGATTGCCAAATGTTTCCTTTTGAGGAATCTGTCGAATCAATTGGTGTGAATACCCACCAAGTTTGTGTGGATTCATCCAGATGGACATCTCCAACGTCTGCAGATGGTGGTATTACGGAGTTTTCAGGTGAAGCGGTTGAGCTGGAAGATGAACAAGACAGTTTAACTCCACGGATAGTGTAGGGCTGAGGCGGGTAGGTCTTTACAGCTTGGGAAAAGTAAGAACTCAACAGTACTACTCAATCTTAGGGGAAAAATACTTACGTGCTCGTTGCTCCTTGCGTTGTTCTTCAGTCGACATGGTGGTTGCAGTTCAGTAGACACCGAGGCGTGCGCGCGCGCTAATAAAATGTTTTCTTTCTTTTCTATCCTTTACTATTAGACACACTTTTTTTTTGTCGTTTTCTTGAACCAGCAAGGGAATTCGTACTCAACATTAGGATGACCTTGAGTAACTCAAGGTCATCCTGCCTTTGCTGCACCCACGAGGAGGCAGTATCGGGGTCTCGGATGCGCTTCGCAGAAGAGTGCCACCCAGAAACCCCTCTAGGATTACCCGGCTTATACAAACCGTTCGTCTTCTTCCTCTTCCCGAGCCTGGCCAAATCCCGATTCCGACTTGCTCAAAGACTCCGAGTCGAACTCTTGAATCGTCGCCGATCTCGATACTCGAGAGTTCAGTGATTTCCAGATTCCTAGCATGATTCTACTCTCAATACTGACTCTGTTGATTTTGAATAGCACTTATAAGTCGCAGATATAAACGATGTGGAAGTCGTTCGGACAAGCGATATATGCGCGCGTCATATTTTGATAAAATACGTCCTGTTGATCGTTCCTCACAGTCAACGCAGCGAACACTGACGTTGTAGTACGATCCTCCGATACTATGTCGACTTTCACCTTCACAAAAAGAATTTTGAATTTGGTCCGGGTGCTTTCCCTCCAGCAGAAACTCCTGTGCATTCAAATAAAACTATACAACTCACTGAGTCTGTGGCTACACTCGAATCCTTTTTCAATTCGTTTACCCTCGTCACTTCCCATTGTCGAAGCAACTGGATTTTGATTTGTTAACGTTACTTGCTGAAGCGGGACAAAAAATATGAAATTTTTGGGCTAGCTATAAAGAAAGCGTTTATCAAAGTTATGGCGCGTACAACAAGCGCCGACTCTCTCCGTGTCCACCGTGACTACGACCTTTTCCCGAGAAGGGTGCCCAGAAATCCCTCTAGGATTACCCGGCTTATACAAATCGTGTAAGAATCAGTCTTCTCCCTCTTCGCGAACCTAGCCAAATCCCGATTCCGACTTGCTTTAAGCTTAAAGACTCGAACTACTGATTTTTAGATTTCTAGCATTCTACTCTCAAAACTGGCTCTGCTGATCCTGGATAGCATTCATAAATGGCAGATATAAACGAAGTGAAAGTCGTTCGGACAAGTGATATCTGTGCGCGTCATGTTTTAACAAAGTACATCTTGTTGATCCTTCCTCACAGTTAACGCAGCGGACGCCGACGTTGTAATACGATCCTCCGATAACCTCGAATTTCGCCTTCACAAGAGGAATCTTGAATTTACTTCGGGAGCTTTCCCTCCGGCAGAAACCCCAGTACATTCGAATGAAACCATACAGCTCACTGAATCTGCAGCTACACTCGAAATACTTTTCCAATTCGTCTACCCTCGTCAATTCCCATCGTTGGAGAGACTGGATTTTGATTCGGTGATGTTACTTGCTGAGGCGGGGCAAAAATATGAAATTTTTGGGCTGATGAATGCCTGCCAGTTTCAACTGAGGTGCGTCTAACTAAACATTTTTCTTACCTCTTAATCAAGTATGTACAATTGATTTATTCAGGAAATTCAAGCACAAACATCCAGACAGAATTCTGGAGTTTGCTGCACAACATAACCATGGAGACCTCGTTACTCAACTTGTACCGATTCTACTTCATATGCCTCTCACGAAACTTGTCAAAATTCTACCATCTCATATGTATATACCATGGGTACGTTAATTGAGCTATATAGTATGGCCACAGCTCTGATTCATTACACCATAGAGCCTATACCGAGAGAGCTGGTTGGTTCAAGTCATGAAAAGCGCTGCAGTGCTTGTTCCGAGTCATGATTGCTTTCCTAAGGAGAAAACTTCCGCATGGTCCTTTTTCCGGAAAAACCTTCATGATGAAATCATCTCGGACTACTTAGATATCTTGCCTGGTGACTCATGGGACAAGCTAGCTGCGAAATACGCCCATCGCCAATGTTGCACTTCGGTAATCAAAGCTTGGAGGGCTGAGCTTGAGCGCATTAGGGATTCAATGCCTCCAATTGAACTTCCTTCATCATAGGTGAAAGTAGAGTGCTCGCCGGTGAAACTTCAGATATATGTACTTGTTATCGTTTTGTTTTCTGCATACATCCAGATCATTGTATAGTCAAATTCTTTGCTGCCTGCCGAGTGTGGTTTTTGGACGTATTGAATCTATCGAGATGTTTGAATTTATCACTGGCAAGCATTGCGTCAGAGACAAGGGTCCAAGTAATGCAAGAGTATCTATCCAAAGTTAAAGATGGTGCTGCAGAACAATTTGAGCTTTAAGGTGGAGGGTCACAAGAGAAGTTACCATGGAGTATAGATAGATCATTGGTGTACACACTCTATAGCTGAAACGCCCCGGCGCGGATAAAGTACATCGACGCGTGCTGGAGCTACTGTTTGAGGCGGGCAACGTGTTTTGGCAGGACCAGCCAATGACAGAAGCATCACCGCTGTTCAATATGCGTCAAATTCCAATTACCTTTCAGGAGAAAGATGAGGTATGACCAGAGTCCCAGATACAGACACAAGCGCGACGACGGTTTGTTGAGATTCACGCACAAATGAAGCGTGACAAAGGTGACGGTAACGAGCAAAAAACTCCCCTGCAAAGCCAAAAAGAAGCAAACAACCTCGCTAGTGAGGCCCTACACGACGCCAGCAGGATTTGAACCTGCGCCCTCAAAGAGGAACAGATCTTGGAACGGAGTATGGCAAATTCTAATCTGTCGCCGTAACCACTTGGCTATAGCGCCATAAACATCTTGAGATTGTAAGGTTTCAAGATGGCAGGATCTAAACTCTTCATGGCACACCGACTCTGAAGATGGGAATGTTGACGCCTAACGCAGCTTGAGCTTTACCCTGCGTTCTGGCTGAAGATAAAAGTTGAATCGGACAGCCGTCGAAGAACCACCCAAGAAAAACGCAAGGTCGCAGATGGCAGGTGTAGCAAATCGGACCAAACGCATCGCAGCCTGAACTTTGACACAATCCAAGTTGATCTGCCTCAGCTCGGAGCTCATGGACTTGAGCCAACAGTCTCGCCAACAGACACAGTTGAATAATACTCACCTTCCCTCCTCCGCGGTTTGGGTCAGGGAGAAACGGGGAACATGGATGGGTATGTTGCATAAGTAACAGAAAAGTATCGCGGTACCGTACCGACAGTAGTGCAATAGCAGAAAACCTCCTACGAGCATCGAGAAGCTCAACTTTGCGATCAGCGCACCGGTAAAAACTAGGAAAGAGACTGATGCCTAACACATCTATAGCTTCAGTATAGTAAACACCTCTTTACTATTCAACTACTTTGATTGCCAATTTAGCGTCTAGAATTTGTGAACCTGCGAACCATAATGAGGAAAATCATTGATTGAGATGCGATTGAATTACCTGGTCCTCAGTGTATCCAAGCTCCTTGAGAATACCACCCAGCTCTCCCTGTTTCATACCAGCCTTCTTTCCAGCTAGAGCAGTGACCTGTCCAGGAGGGCCTGCACATCACATTCGCGAATTAGTCATATCAGTCCGGCTCGAAAGGGAACCACATAACTTACCACACACAAACACCTTAACTTTCTCTGCCAAGCTCGCAGGAGCAATATGCTGCTGAATAATCTCCTTTGATACATATCCCGAAGCACCAGTCCACGACGGCGGAGGGTTATCCAAAACATACACCACATCAAATTTGGTTGGATACTTTTTCTTCAGCGCTTCGAGCTCTGATTTGAGGAGAATGTCGGCTTCGGTGACGTTGGAGAATAACAAGGTGAATTTGGTACGGTTGGAGGCGTTGGATAAGGCGTGCGTGATTATTTGGTAAAGGGGAGTGCTACATGGAAGATGAAGGAAGAAAGGTTAGGCACGAGAGGGAGAGGGAGGGTAGGAGGATGGGTACTTGCATTCCGCTTCCACCGCCAATAAGCGCGATTTCATCGAATTCGTTTACTAGGAAATCATCAAGCTTTATTCTAGAAACCTGGCTCAGCACTCACCTGTGTAGGGGAATGTGGGATATGGTCCTTGGATGGCAAGCGTGTCGCCCTTCCTATCAAAGAAGGAATGTGAGCGGAGACATAAAGGAGGGGGGGAGAAACAACGGCACCTTCAAACTATGTATGTGCTTGGAAACAACACCCGTCTCGTACTTTTTAATTAGCAGAGTAAGCTCGCCTTTGTGGTTGGCATCCGAGACGGGAGTGTAAGGACGAATGATAGGTTTGCCTTTGTCATCCTTGAGTGCTTCCGGGTCGGAAGACTTGACCACAAGACATGACGCAACCGGAAGAAGTGAAGCTTCATTGTTGGGCAACTCAAAGATGAACCTGCATGAAATATGGGTGATTCCGCGTTATATAGCAGATGCGCGCACGTACTCTGAGGTATTGTGATTGTATGGGACAATCTTCTTTAGCTTGAAGTCTTTAAAGTTCTCTGGATCAAGAGGACTCTTTTCCTGCAAAGCAACAGTTTTTCCCGACTGGTTCAGATAATAATAGCCTCCTAATCCTGCTATACTAGCGCCTACAAGATACAGAGGTAAGCTGCTTCGTTCTTTAGGTGTCGGAGCAGTCGCATAACTGCGCCGAGCAGCTGTACGAAGCAACTGGGTGCCCTAGAGAAGAAGGATTTCATTAGACTGAAAGATTAATGATATAAGTAACCTACAAAGTGACGCGTCGCTGCAGCGGATATCATGATAAAAGAAAGCAAGTTTGGAGGCGTTTGACAGCCGTTTCAAAGAAACCTAGCCTTCAGAAAACTTGCTGGCAATTCAGTAGCAGCTTCCGCCAAGCTGTGATAGAGCGAGCAGTAACTGAATGGAGAACTGTGTTGAACGAAGATTTTGAAGTGGCCTCTCCGTTTTTCCGAATCAGCTTTCAGCTTCATTCTGATATGTCGCCGTAACTCCTTGCTATAGCGACATACGCAGATCTGAACGTTCCCTTCAAACAGTAAGTTTTGTTTACACCACTTGCTATTTTTCTTTTTCGGGATCGGAGGAGATGTGGGAGCTCGTTGAAGTGGATTTCGAGTCCTGTCCAGATGGTGAGTACGCATGGAGCTGCAAGCAAGGCCGTAACACGAACGTCAACTGCTAACAGTTTTACTTGCTTTATTGTCATTCTGATTGGAAGGAGATCGTTGGACCACTGGGATTCATCTTCTGCCTCGCTTCTCCTCATACATCCGTATGCATCGACTTCTTCTCTCAATCTAGAAAATTTGAAGATGCCTCTCAGTACTGTTCTCTGGAGCTAGTGGGTCAACTGGGTTGGTGACGATGTTTATGAACCGTACTAATGCTTACCTGACCTTTGGAATGGAGAAAGTCTGAAACCTAAGTACAGTTTTAATTTACATCCAGATACTCATACAAAAGGGAACAGGACTTACTGTAGTGATGGTCTCTAGAAGCAAGGCGCTACTCCTCATATGGCAAAGTGAAAAAGAAGAAAAAAATTACATCACGAGCTGAGACATATGACGCCGCAGGAGTTGAACCTGCGCTCTGGGACATCTAAATCTGTCACCGTAACGACTTGCCTATAGCGCCTTACAATACTTCGGATTCTAGAGTCAATCAATAGTCTCCTAACGCAGCTTTCGACTAGCTTGCGCTTTCGAATCTCGTTCTAGTTGGAGATCCTTGTTGGGTGGGAAGCTACCCAAGAGCAAACACAAAGTCGCAGATGCAACACGGACCAAACATCTAGATTAATGCAAGGAGATCGAAAAATGCATATGTACTTGCCTCGACTCAGAGTCTCGTGACTTGGTAAGACTTATATGCGCCTTCTCAAGCAGTAGGCCGTAAGCGGAGGATCCTCCGCCGCGGCCTCGCAGGTACTTAATGCAACGCACCGCGGTAGTGTATCCATACCCGAACCGACTAGCCATGGTGCCAAGCACCGTTCACATAAGAACGTTCGCTCAATGCGACCAGCGCTGATCGAAATGTAGGTGGTACAGTGTTGTCCACCACGTCTATAGTTTCAACAAATCTTTAACTACTTTGATCGTTTAAAATTTGTAAACCTGCGAACTGTAATTAGAAAAACGATCCAGTGAGATGCGATTGAGTTACCTGGTCCTCAGAATACCCAAGTTCCTTGAGTACACCACCCAGCTCTCCCTGCTTCATACCAGCCTTGTTTCCAGCTATAGCAGCGACTTGTCCAGGAGGGCCTATAAACGTTCATGAAATCAGCCTTATCGAATCAGAAGCGGCGGAGCTACATACCACACACAAACACCTTGACTTTCTCCGCCAAACTCGCAGGAGCAACATGTTGCTGAATAATCTCCTTCGATACGTATCCCGAAGCCCCAGTCCACGATGGTGGGGGTTTATCCAAAAGATACACCACATCAAACTTGGTTGGATACTTTTTCTTCAGGGCTTCGAGCTCCGATTTGAGGAGAATGTCGGCTTCGGTGACGTTGGAGAATAACAAGGTGAATTTGGTACGGTTGGAGGCATTGGATAGGGCGTGGGTGATTATTTGGTAGAGGGGAGTGCTACAGGCATTGAGAGAGAGGTTAGACATGAGCGGTTGCTAACTTACATTCCACTTCCACCGCCAATAAGCGCGACTTCGTCGAATTCATTCACTAGGGGAACCATGTTTAATGAAGTTCTGGCCAGTCAGCTCGGCACACACCTTTGTAGGGGAACTTCGGAATCGGTCCTTTGATGGAAAGCGTGTCGCCCTCCTATAAAGTGACAATGTGAGCGGAGACGGGATGGAATGATATAGGACGGGAAGGGACCTTCAATGCATGGATGTGCTTGGAAGCATTACCATTATCGTATCTCTTAATGAGCAGCGTAAGCTCCCCTTTTTGATTGGCATCCGAGATAGGAGTATAAGGACGAATGATAGGTTTGCCTTTGTCGTCCTTGAGTGCTTCGGGGTCAGAAGACTTGACCACAAGGCATGACGCAACCGGGAGAAGTGAAGCTTCATTATTGGGCAGCTCAAAGATAAACCTGTATAGGATATGGGTGATTTTGTGTTACAGAGCACGACGCAAAGCACGTACTCGGAGGTGTTATGGTTGTACGGGACAATCTTCTTCAACTTGAAGTCTTTGAAGTTCTCTGGATCAAGAGGACTCTTTTCCTGCAAAGTAGCGGTTTTTCCCGACTGGTTTAGATAGTAATAGCCTCCTAAACCTGCTATACCGGCACCCATGAGATATAGAGGCAAATTGCTTCGGTCTTTGGGTTTCTCAGCAGTCGCATAGCTGCGCCGAGCAGCTGTACGAAACAGCTGGGTGCGGCCCTAGAGAAGGACTTCATTAGACCGAAATAATAATAATAAAAAACTACGAACGAATTGGCGCGTGGTTGCAGCAGATAGCATGACAAAAGAAGGTAATTAGTAAATGACAGGGAAGCGAAGAGGAAACCCGGGTCCCCTGCCGAGGATTATTATATGACGTCGACGGTTGCTCCTTTGATGGGCTGAACCTTTTTTTACTGGTTAATCGCCGTTCATCTATACCTTGGATATTCTCTGCAAGCTCGTCTTTTGGACTCTGCCAAATCTACCAGCCTTTGATCCAAACAATTACAGCAGCAGTCTCAGATCGATCACTTTCTTCGTTACTCTCACCAAGACCGCCAAAGGAAATGTCCTTTGTGAAGCTTTCAATCTTTGGTACCTCTTTTGAGGTGAGCTTTCCAGCTTTTTCTTCAGAGAATTCGTTTATTCATCCTTTATCTGTAGGTTACCACTCGGTA